GTTGGTTGAGTACCTACTATGTGCTAGGCATTGTCTGTGCCAGACACACTGTGCTGGGTCCTAAGGGAAAACCATTATGTTGTTGTTGTTATGTGCCGTGGAGTTGGTTCCAACTCATAGTGACCCTGTACAGGGTTTCTGAGGCTGTAAATCTTTGCGGGAGCAGAAAGCCTCATCTTTCTCTCACAGAATGGCCGGTAGTTTCAAACTGCTGACCTTGAAGTTAGCAGCCTGACTCATAACCACTACGCTACCAGAACTCCTTCAGCATATATAAATGCTTGATCATGTAAGCCCATCATTTCTCTTTTACCCACAGCTTAGCATAGTGGCCAGAACTATGTTGTTAAATACTGTCCAGCTGGCTTCGACTTATAGTGAACCTGTATAGGGTTTCCAAAGAACAGTTAGTGAGTTTGAACCACTGACCTTGCTGTCCAGTGCATTATCCCACAGCACCATACCAGGACTCCAATAAATAGCTCCGTTTCTCCTCTTAGGCAGCCTGACAGAAGTTTCTGCCATAGTCTCATGAAGCTGGCTTGACTCGTTGTTGTTAAGTGCCATTGAGTTGGTTCTAACTCAAAGTGACCCTGTACAGGGTATCCAAGGAGTGGCTGGTGGCTTTGAACTACCAACCTCGTAGGTTCCCAGTAAATGGTATCTAACTTCCCCCCAAGGAGCTTTGGTGGTACTGTGTTACACATTGGGTTGTTAGCCAACCTCAAGGTCAGCACTTCAAACCCACCAGCAGACAGAGAGAAAGATGAGGTTTCCTGCTCCCATAAATATTGACAGTCTAGGAAACCCTCTCCAGGGTCGTTCTGAGTCAGAATAGACTTGATGAGTTTGGGTTTTGGATTTTGGTGCCTGATACAAGGTAAGAAAGAATACACACAGATAGAGTTCGGTCCTCACAGTAACTCCAGAAGGGAGATAGAATTTTCCATTTTCCAGATGAAGACATGGAGACTCAAAGATTGAAGGGATTTGTCTGAGGGCCTAGGGCTGACGAGGGGCAGCCTGACTCCAGAGCTGGCTCCTAAACACTGTGTTCTCTTGCTGTTGAGCAATATCTCCCAGGCAGCTCAAACCTTCTTTTTAAAAGGAATCTGACAAGAAAACAGGAAGAATGATACAAACCAGGCGTTTGTTCTGTCTCAGGACTTCTGGTCACTCAGCATTTCTAATAAAGCTCCTGTTATTCCACGACGAAGCATTGTTGTATAGCGTAGGGACCCATAAGGGAGACATTAGACATAGGACCTGGGTTCCAATCCCTCCTTTTCTACTTCCTGGCTGTGTGACTGAGAGCGAGTAACTTGACCCCTCTGTACCTTGGTATTCTTCGCTGTACAATGGGGATAATAGCAGTTGGGTTAGAATCTATAACCTGGTAGATACAAAGTGCTCAGATCAGCACAGCTTTGCTTAGTGCTGTTGTCCTCTTGTCCAGACCCCCTGAGGTAGAATTGACTCTGAGTCCCATTTTCCAGATGAAGAAAATTGAGGCTCAGAGAAGTGGAATTACTTGTATTGAGTCATACAGCCCGTGAGTGGCAGGCTTGGGATTTGGACCCAGATCTGACTCCAAACCCCACCCACTGACTCACTATCTATCCCAGGAGCTGATTTCTAAAGGAGAACTCAGATGTTATTACTTAAGGAAATGACTGATGACCTTTTAGAAGATTTAATGACAAAAGTAGAAATGCTAACTGAAATCTTTTTTTTTTTTTAAATGCATAGCTAAGAAAGGAAGGTCACCCATAGGGGTCAAAAAAACGGAAGAACACTGGAAAGCAGAGTGGGAAGCTGATATCAGAACTTCTGTGGGGGTGCTGTCTAGTGTTGACAAGCAGGGCTTGACCCACTGCCTCCATCCCGTGTGGGCGCCACAATAGTGCTGCGTAGCAAACCACCTCGTCCCCGCCCCCACAGTGCCTTAAAGTACCAGTCATTGATTCTGGCTCAGACATCTGTGAGTTGCCTGGGGTCAGTTGCCCCAGGCTGGACTTGGCTTCAGGCAGAGTAGTGGGTCTCTCATCCTAGATGGATCAGTGGCCCATTCAAGCAGGGGCAGAAATACAAAAGGGCAATCCCACCACTCAGGTCCTGGTCAATGAGATGCTAATATCTCATTGGCCAAAGCAAGTCATATGACTCATCCTTAGTTTCGAGGGGGGAAGTGGACGGAATATTTGCCCTGGGTTGGCAAGTAACTTTCTCTCTTCTGGATCTTGGCTTCCTCATCAGTAACACTGGAAAATCATTCAAGGGGGCTTCAAGGAGCTTGTGGGAGAAGTGGAATGAAAAGAAAATGGAACTTTTTCATGAACTTTTTGAAGCCTGCCTTGCATACTTCTATGGGCAGGATGTACCAAGGACTAGAGACAATATGTATTGGGGGGTTGGAAAGCTAAGGTTCAGTGAAAAGATAGACCAGACCAGGGGTCAGCAAACTTGTTTTGTGTAAGAGTATATAAATGAGGGGGTATCAACGCATTTGTCAAAAAATTGGGCTTAAAAGAGAATGGAATTTTTTCACAAACTTTGTGAAGCGTCTTGTAAAATAAATAAATCAGCATACATCTCTGTTGCACATTGACTGGTATTGCAGCATAAAAGTAGCCATGTTGTTGTTGAATACCGTTAGGTCGGTTCCTATGCATAGTGACCCTGTGTTGGGTTTCCGAGGAGCAGCTGGTAAGCTTGAACCACCAATCTTGCAGTTAGAAATAGGCAAGTACGTGAGCATGTCTGTGTTCCAATAAAACTTTATTTACAAAAACAAGCAATGGGTTGAACTAAAGAAACTGTGCCCTTCAGGAAAGGAAAACAATATTTACAAAAACAAGCAATGGGTTGAACTAAAGAAACTGTGCCCTTCAGGAAAGGAAAACAATCGGGGAAGTTGTCTGGTTCATCCTTAGATCTGAGTTGGAAAGGTCAAGGTGCCCACTGAGACTGTGTAAACAGCCTGCTGTCTGTATGTGTAGTAATAACTCTATCTGTGTTGCCTTTGTCTCTCTGTTAAACAACAACAAAAACCCCTCAAACCTTGTTGTTGTTAAGTGCCATTGAGTTGGTTCCAACTCAGTGACCCTGTATAGAGTTTCCAAGAAGCAGGTGGTGGGCTTGAACCACCAACCTTGCCATTCAAATGACTTTGCAGTCTAGCGCATTAGCCCACAGCGCCACACCAAAACTTACTAGTGGTTAAAAAAGCCCATTTAGTAGGAGGAAACACTATTGTATCCTCATGGGTTTTCACGTCAGGAACTGAAACAGAGCCCAGTAGGGGGAGCTTGTTTCTGCATTGTGAAAATTGGGAAGACAGCTTGACGGCTGGGAGCTGGAGACCCCCGAAACACACACACACTCTCCCTCACCCCTCGATTATGGCCCTTACTCTTCAGGTCTGGAACTGAACTCACCCTTCATTTTCAGCCAAACAATAGACAGGTTTAGAAGGGAAGCAGGAACCCTTTAGAATAACCAACCATTCGAGATCAAAGGGCAGCATTTACCCAAGGACAAAGTTCAAAGGTAGGAAAGAAGAAATGGAAATAGGAAAGAAAGGGGGGAAATAGGAGAAGTGATGTTACATTGCAATCAAGTGACAGGAAACACGATGTGTAAGAATTTTTGAATGGAAAACTGATTTGTTCTGTAAACCTTTACCCAATTCACAATCAAAAGTTTGAAAAAAAAAAAAGAAGGCTAGGAGCTGGCAATTTTTGTTGTTGTTGTTAAGTGCCATCGAGTCGGTTCCGACCCATAGCGACCCTGTACAGGGTTTCCTAGGGTGTAAATCTTTACAGGAGTAGAAAGCCTCATCTTTCTCCCGCGGAACAGCTGGTAGTTTCAAACCGCTGACCTTAAGGTTCACAGCCCAATTCGTAACCACAACGCTACCAGAGCTCCTTTTTAGAGGTTCATTAATTTGCAGGCCTGATCATGGCTGTTGATTGGGCCTCAGCTGAGGCTTCTAGCTGGAGAGCTTACTTGTAGCTTCTCCACGTAGCTGCTTTGGCTTCCTCACAGTATAGGGACTATAGAATAGTCCGTTTCCTACCTGACAGCTCAGGTAAGTGTCTCTGCCCATAAGGCAGGAGGAACATCTCCTTTTATCACCTAGACTCTGAAGTCTCACAAACTCACTTTGGCTATAGTCTTCCAGGTTCAGGTTGGCAGGAAATAGATTCCACTTCTTGATGTTGTTGTTATGTGACGTGGAGTCGGTTCCGACTCATAGCGACCCTGCATTAGGGTTTCCAAGGCTGTACATCTTTACAGGAGCAGAAAGCTTCATCTTTCTCCCATGGGGCAGCTGGTAGTTTCGAACTGATGACTCTGAGGTTCACAGCCCGATTTGTAACCACTACGCTACCAGAGCTCCTTACTTCTTGATGAGGGATGGCAAAAATCTAGAAAGGCATGGAGGACATCTAGAAAATTCTAGAAAGGCATGGTGGCCATCTTTGGAAACTATGATCTGAAAATACAATATGCCACAATAAGAATTTGGAATTTGAATCCGCACTATTTGTAGAGTTGGTCAAGGAAACCTCCAATTTAGAAATTAATTCAAATAGACCCCAGTTGTTAACACAGGGAACTCCAAGCAGAGGCTATTGCAAACCTGCTCTAAAGAGTCAAGCTCTCACTGTATTCAGATCTTACAAAATTCCCATCGATGACCATGAGCGCACAATCCAAAATTACAGATCAAATAGGGACACAACCTGCTGTGAACAGAACTTGTTTTAAACAACGGACAGAAGAAATAGGTCCTTCCCTCCCTGGCCTTGGCCACGATCTTAAGAGGTGCTAGAGACAGCATCATAGAAGGGGCAGGAAAGATGATGGGGGCCAAGGCCTAATGTATATAGGGAGACAGAAGGATTCTCTTTCTGACCCAGTTTCTGACCCTCCCATAGGAAACTTCCAGGCAGGAGAGGATGGTCGGATTCTAAAACGTTTCTGTCAGTGTGAGCAGCGCAGCTTGGAACAGCTGATGTGTGACCCTCTGCGGCCTTTCGTGCCGGCCTACTATGGTATCGTGGAGCAGGACGGTCAGACTTTCAACCAAATGGAAGATCTCCTGGCAGACTTCGAGGGCCCCTCCATCATGGACTGCAAGATGGGCATCAGGTGGGGGTAGGGGTTTTGCTGGGGGCAGGAGTGGAGGGACCAGGGTGGGCAGTCTTTAAGAAAGTGCCAACATACATTTCCACCAGCAAGAGTATACAAGTTCCAATTGTTCCATATTCTTGCCTACACTTAGTATTATCTGTTTTTAAAAAGTTAACCATTCTAATGGGTGTATGGTGGTGGTGTGCTGTGGAGTTGGTTCCAACAAATAGTGACCCTGTATAGGATTTTTCAGGTTGTAAATCTTTACGGGAGCAGAAAGCCTCATCTTTTTCCTGTGGAACCGCTGGTAGTTTTGAACTGCTGACCATGAGATTAGCAGCCCAACTCATAATCACTACCAGAGCATGTTGTTGTTGCTGTTAAGTCCCATCGAGTCGGTTCCGACTCACGGCGACCCTGTATAGGGTTTCCGAGGAGCAGCTGGTGAGCTTGAACCCCCAACCTTGCAGTTCAAATGGCTTTGCAGTCTGGCGCATTCACCCACAGCGCCACACCAGAACTCCGGAGCAAAGTAATATCTAATTGTGGTTTACGTTTTATTTCATCCTTTTCGTATGTTAATTGTCTCTTTGGAAATTCTTTCTTGAGTCTTTTGCCCATTTTTTTATTGAACTGTCTTTTTGATTTGCACTCCCTTGTATATTCTGGATACAGGTCCTTTGTTGGGTATATATATGATGGGGCTTCAAAGAGTTTGTGGAAAAATGGGATTAAAAGATAATTTTTTTCCCAAGAACTTTTAAATCCCCCTTAGCTATATACTTTCCCTCTGCTCTACAATTTCACACTCTTAACAGTGTCCTTTGCTAAACAAGTTACCTTTTTTTAAAAAAGTGTTTTTAATTTAGCGCAGTTTGATTTCTTTCTTTTAATTTATGAGTAGTCTTTTTTGTCTTCGCCTACTCTAAGATCACAAATACACTGTTTTCTTCTAGAAGTTCTGTTAATGTTCACATTGGGTTCTGCAGTTCATCCAGAATGAATTTTTTGTGTATGGTGTGAGATAGAGGTCAAGGTTCATTTTATTTCCATATGGATAATCCAGTTGACTCAGAACCAGTTAATGACATAGCTTCCTTTACCCCACTAAATAGCAGTGTGTTTCTTAACATAAATTGGATCATTGTACATGTGTCTGTTTGTGGATTCTGTTCTGTCCTACTGATGTATTGGCCTATTTTGAAACCCTACACAGGGTCACTGTGAGTCAGAACTCACTCCATGGCAATGTGTGGATGGGTACCAATATTACACTGTAGCTTTACAATATGTCTTGGAGTCTTCTTTGTTCTTCATGATTTCACTCGTCACATCCTCTGTGCCCCCAGAACCTACCTGGAGGAGGAGTTGGTGAAGGCACGAGAACGGCCCCGGCCCCGGAAGGACATGTATGAGAAGATGGTGGCTGTGGACCCCGGGGCCCCCACTGCTGAGGAGCACGCCCAGGGTGCTGTGACCAAACCCCGCTACATGCAGTGGAGAGAAACCATGAGTTCCACTTCCACTCTGGGCTTCCGGATCGAAGGCATCAAGGTGAGAGCCTTTTGCTAGAGGGCTTGGAGCTAGAACGGAGACAGAGCTTCTCCAGCATAACATGGGTGTCAGGGCGGCCTGGAGAGATGTGAGATCTGGAAAAGGTGGGAGATTGCACAAGGTGGAAAGACAAGGTCCCACTTCTCCCTTCCTCCATGTCCTCAGAGACCAGGTTTGTTTATCCATCAACCTGAGCGTCTCTGACTCCCTCTTCTCTGCTTTTTGTCTTCGTCTGCTGAGGCTCCTGCCCTGGCTGTCCTTACACTGCTGTCTCACCACCTCTGACCCATCGTCCAGCACAGCAGCTGAGGGAGGGGATCTTTACGGAGGAAGATTCTTTTTTTCATGCCTTTTAGTCAATTACATTTTTTTTTTAAATAGGGTTTTTTTTTTTTTTAATGTTTTATTGTGAATTATCTGATAGTTTACATGGGAGAGCATTAGTTTTACATAGTCAATTACATTTTGAACTGGTATTCTCATGAGCGCCTGTGTGATGCCGACAGTTATGCACAAAGCAGCTCCTGGTGTGGTGCTGTGGGTTATTGCACTGGACTGCAAGGTTGGTTTCAACTGCAAGGTCGATGGTTCAAGTTCACCAGCTGCTCCTTGGAAACCTTATTCAGAGTTGCTATGAATTGGAACCAACTCTATGGCACTTAACAACCACCACCACCACCAAAGGTTGGTGTTCATAAGTCACCTAGAGGTATCTCTCAAGAAAGGCCTAGAGCATCACACAGCCAACCAAACGCCAAAATAATATAAAAAAAGTTGTTGTTGTTAGGTGCCATCAAGTTGGTACCAACCCATAGTGATCCTATGCACAGCAGAATGAAACACTTGCCCGATCTTGGGCCAACCTAACCACTGTTGCCACGCTTGAGTCCATCGATGCTGCCACTTGGCTAATCCGTCTCGCTGGGGGTCTTCCTCTTTTTCTCTGACCCTCCACCTTACCAAACATGATGTCCTGCTCCAGCGACTGGTCCCTCCTGACAATATGTCCGAAGTATGAGAGACAAAGTCTGGCCATCCTGGCCTCCAAGGAGCACTCTGGCTGTACTTCTTCCAAAATGGATCTATTGGTTCTTTTGGCAGTCCATGGCACTTTCAATATTCTCCTCCAACACCATAACTCAAAGACATCAATTCTTCTACGGTCTTCCTTATTCACTGTCCAGCTTTCGCATGCATATGAGGTTATTGAAAATATCCATGCACAAAATCTCTCTCCCAATCCTACTGTTCTTCACATTCATCCCCACAACCCATTGTCTACTCATTCTTACTCATTTTTGATACTTATAATTAACTTGTTTTTGGTATTTCTTTCTGCAAATAGGACTTCAAAGTTCATGGGAAAAGTCCATTGTCTTTTCACTCCATTTTTCCATGAACGTTTAGAAGCCGCCATGTACAAGTAAATGCAGTCGCAGATCCTGAATTTCCCCTCACTTTCTTACACCAGAGGTGGCAGAGTACATATACTGATGGATAGTTGACTTTTTTCCCAGTAATATCCTGGAGAGTTCTCTGTATCTTTCCATAGAGAGCTCTTTACTCTTTCTTCAAAACTCTCTTCGTGGATATACCACGGTCCCCTATGAATGGACACTTGGTGGCTTCCATATTTTACCATTACAAACAGGGCCTCAATGGCAGAGTTGGTACATGCAATATTTTGCAAGTGAGCAGTTTTAGCTGTAAACTGGATTCACAGAAGCAGCACTGATCATCGGGCTATATAGATGGGCAAACTCTTCTTCCTAGTGTTGTACACTGTGTCCCGCCAGCAATGTAGGAAAGTGACTATTTCCAAAGTCGTGCCTGAGCTAAGTTGCAAATCCATGTTGGTCTCCTGCTCAAGAGCCTTCTGTGGCTCCCTAGTGCCCTCAGGAGGAATTCTAAGGCCTCTAGGACCCTCCAGGGTCTGGCCCCAGCTCTCAGCTCTCTCTTCTTCCTTGTCTATCTTTAGGTCACAGTGAAGTTTATTTTTTAAAACTTCTTATTGTGACTGGAGTGAAGGTTTACAGAGCAGATCATCAGTTTCACATTCAACAAATCATATACTTCATGTCATTACAATGATTGCAATCCCTTCTGTGTACCATCCATCAGTTAACAGTGCTTACCTCTGTTTACATTAACTCTTGCATGCCTCCCAGTATCTTCCACTTAGTTCATCTTCACAGTGAAGTATTTTTATTTCCTTCAAATGGTTATGCTTTCGCCCGCCTCAGGGTTTCTGCACATGCGTCTCCCTGTAATGCTCATCCCCTGGTTGACTCCCAGTCATTTTCCGGTCTCCTTTAAAATGTCACTTCCTCAAGGAAGTCCTCCCGGATTTCCACCCTACTCAATCAGGGAGAGCCCCCTCTCACGTCCTGAGACCTCTCTGTCCACCTTCATCTTCTCTTTCCCTGTGATTCTTTCGTTCACACCTGCCTCCTCCTTCATCTGATCGATCTGTCCTGTTCCCTCCAAGTCCCCAGAGTGGCAGAACAACTTAGGAGGCTTCTCTGAAACATTAATGACATTCTTCTCCTTTATTGAGTGCTTACTGTGTGCCAGGCCTTGTGCTGTGCATCCTCAAGGCCAGCTGTAGGAGGTGGATACTCACACAACTCCCATAGTCCAGAGGAGGAAACTCACACTGAGCTCAGGTTGTCCATCTAGGAAGCAATTCGAAGCCAGATCTCCTTCCCACAGCCAGACTGCCTCTAAGGGACCCATTGCTCAGGAGTGCGACTTAGGGCTGGATTGAGCTGGGTGGGTGGGCTGATTTCCCCGAGACAACAAGCGAGCCAGAGGCAGGGAGGAGTGGGTGGCCTAGGAAGGTTGCTCAGGTTAGGGGTGAGAAGGGAAAGTCTTAACTTACATTACTCCCTCACCCTGTGCCTTGCAGAAAGCCGATGGGACCTGCAACACCAACTTCAAGAAGACACGGGAGTTGGAGCAGGTGACAAAGGTGCTGGAGGACTTTGTGGATGGAGACCTTGGAATCCTGGTAAGAGGTCCCCATACTCTTTCTGCCTGTTAGCTTTCGCTGTGTAACAAACCACCCACCCCTCGACACAGCAGCTTAAAACCACCACCATTTATTATTGCTCCCAAGTTGGTGGTGGGTCTTGGCTCTGGACGGGTTGGCTGAGACAGGCTGACTCTGTTCACACATTTGCAGTTAAATTAGCTGGTGGCTTGGCTGTGGCTGTGGCTGTCTGGTCTCAGTCACCTCAGCTCAGGACTTGGCCAATTCCTCTCCTGACCCAGTAGGCTCACTTGGGCATGTGCTCATTTAGTAAACAAGGATTCAAGAGAGTGAACATAAACGCAAGGCCGAGGTTCAGAATCTTTATTTCTGCCATGTTCTATGAAGGGGGAAAAGTGGAATTAAAAGATAATGGAACTTCCCCCGTGAGCTTTCGGAAGCCCTTTCCTATTGGCTACAGCAATGGCTGAGGCTGGATTAAAAAGCTGCAATACCAATAAGAAACATTGGCTGTTGAGTCCACTCTGATTCCTGGCGACCCCGTGTGTGTCAGAGTAGAACTGTGCTTCCTGGGGTTTGCAGTGGCCGGTATTTCACAAGTAGATCTCCATGCCTTTCTTCCGAGGTACCTGTGGACGAACTTGACCACCAACCTTTTGGTTAGCAGCCGAGTGCGTAAGCATTTGCACCACCCATGCAGGTCAAGCCTAAGCTCTCGTGCTGCTAAGAATTGTGCATCACCGTGTGGTGTATGAAGGGGCTTCAAAAAGTTCATGAAAAGATAACGGAATTTTCCCATGAAAGTTTTGAAGCCCCCACATAACATCTATCTGTCCCACCCTGATACATATCACCCTTTTCCATTTCCCCCTGCCACACCTCATTTCCCATCCTTCCCGGGACCTGTCCATTCCTTTGGGCGATCCCACAGAGGGGAAGGCCCCAGAGTCCCCATGCTAACCAGGAACCCGGCCCTCTCACACACAGAGAAAATACTTGGCACGTCTGGAAGAACTTCGAGAAGCTCTGGAGAACTCCCCTTTCTTCAGGACCCATGAGGTGTGAACCCCGGCCACCATGGGAGCTGTTGGGGGTGGTGGGCTTATTGGGGTCCAAGTGGCACTGCGGGGAACCCATTGACAGAGTCACAGGTCAAGGGTAAAAAAAGGAGGCCCGAGGCTTTGGGGTTTGATTTTAGGGTTGGCAGCAGAGGGGTCTTCCTAGAAGTGGAGCAGTTAGTGTGGCCAGCTCTGCCTCTCCGTGGCTGGCTGACCCGTGGTCTCAGCTTCCTCCTCCCTAACAAGGGAGGCGGCACAGTAGCATTTTCATGCTGACTCGGCTTCGGGAGGTGAGATGACTATCGAGTGATGCTGGGAGTCCAGGAGCATGTCTAACTCCTATTCTGACTTACTGGTCATTTTTTTCTCTGTCTTCCTTGTTGGAGAATTCTTCGTCTCCCTGGGGCTGGCTGAAGGCTTCATCTCTGCCTCATTGCCCTCTCCCCTCTGCACCCCAATACCACTGCCTTTCTGAAAGAACATTGGTCTAGAAGTCAGGCTGACCTGGGTTCAAAAGTGGTCTCAGTCTCCTCATCTGTAGAATGGGGGAAGTGGTATCTGCCTCATGGTCACTGTAAGAGTTAAAGGAGTTAAGGTAGTGAAAGCCTGTAGTGCACCGTTGGTAGGTACTGGCTGGTATTATTATGTGATACCTGTTGCTACCTTTGGACTTTACACAGCACAGAAATGAAGAGGAGGTCTGGGGTCCCCATCTGATCTGTCCTCATGTTTGACTTTGTCTGCCTGGTGACTTTATATTTTCAGAAATAAGTCACCCAGCATTTAGAACCTGAGAGATACTTCCCATCAAAATGGGGACCTTCAGTGTCCCTTGACAGATAGGAGATATGGTGACAACCTGCCTCGTGGCCTGCCCCCCTGCCCAGGAATCCACGATGTCTGGGATACTGGCATTTAAAACCAAGGGAGGGGCTTGCAAACCAAGTTAGATGAGGGGATGGAATTGCTACCAGAACGGCGACTATGGAGGGCACCAAGGCACCCGATGTGCATGTGGCTCACTGCTACTCAGGAGGTCAGTGCTCTCACCACTGTCTCCTCTCTCCAGATGAGAAAACTTGTCCAAGGTCACCAGCAGCGCCCTCTGGGCACTCCCTTCCCACGGGCATCCTTCATCCCCACTGGACTCACTTGGTTTATTCAGGGTCCTATAGACATTTGTGTAAAGCTTAGGATAAGCACTGGACTGTTGACTGTAAGGTCGGCGCTTCATGCCCACCAGCTGTTCTCAGAAGCCCTCTGCAGAGTCGCTAAGAGTCGGAACCGATTTGACAGCACACACCAACATCAATAGACATTTGAGTTCATAGCCCAGCTTCAGAATGGGTAACATTTGCTTGGGCCTGGCACTGTTTACGGTGCTTTATAGCACTAAGTCATACATATAATATGCACAGAGAGCTTTGAGGTCAGGTGACGAAGACGCTGCCACAGAGAGGGTGGACCGCTTACCCAAGGGCACATAGCCAGTGAGTGACAGAGCTGGGATTTGTGCTCTTGGTCCCCCTGATGTGTTGCTGGGAAAAGAACTTGACCTCCTCACCTCTCTCCCTGCAGGTGGTGGGCAGCTCCCTCCTCTTTGTGCACGACCACACCAGCCTGGCCAATGTGTGGATGATTGACTTTGGCAAGACAATGGCCCTGCCTGACCACCAGACACTCAGTCACCGGCTGCCCTGGGCTGAGGGCAACTGTGAGGATGGCTACCTCTGGGGCCTGGACAACATGATCCACCTCCTGCAGGGGCTGACCCAGAGCTGACACACCTGTCCACCGCCACAGCTATTTATTAAATGGTGCCAGTTGGGCCAGAGGAGCCTTAAGATTGGCAGTGGGGCAGTTAGGGATGGGAGAGGTTGTATTGCACACTCCGTCAGACCAACGTGGAAGGTCTGAAGGGCCTTGAAGACCAGGTTAGCACCAGCCTTTTTGTCATCTGGGGGTTGGAAGAACCGGAGAAGGGTGCCTGAAGTTCCTGAGTCTCCCACTGAGTCAACAAAACGGAAACTGGCTGCCAGGTTTCTGAGGGGCTGCTGCCAGATGCCAGGACAAAAACATGCTACACATGTAGGGAACCCAGTGCAGACGTCACAGAGCGTGAGGCTGACTCCAGCCTATAGTCACAGCCTCTCATCAGCCTCCCTGGCTGGAAGCAGTTCCCCAGGTGGCCTGGCATCATGTATGAACAAACGCAGCTCTGCCTCCCTGCCGGGGGAGGTGTGCCAGTCTCTTCTTGAGGGCCGGTCCTGTGATGAGTGACAGGCTCTGAGGAGGGTGTGGCACCACGGGACCATCTGATGGCACTGCCTACAAACCCATATGTGCTGCTGACGCTGGTGGAGGCAGTGGTTGCAGTTCACCATCACCCGCCCATGTTTGGCCCAGGGGAACCTCTCTGCTGACCAAAGCCACAGCCACATCTGAGCCAACACTGTGACCGAGAACCACCCCATTCCTGGGTGCACCCCAGCCAGCCCCCTGGAGGTCTGCAGACACAGGAAGGGGTTTCACAGGCCAGGGAGCAGCCTTCCTCCCCGGAAAGGATTGTCAGGCAGGGGTCGGGGCCCTGCCCTGGGCTTGCAACCTAAGCCAAACCAAAGACTCTGGACCCCTCTGCCGCTGCAACTGCCCTCCTCAAGTGTGGTCTTGGGGAGGAAGGGCACCATCTACCTCTTCCCTAAGCTGAAACTCTAATGTTGGCTCCAGGGCTGAGATGACCTTTTCTACTGAGCTTTGTACTATTTATGAGGGGGGCAACTGTTAGATGGGGGGCACTGGGGCAGCAGGTGGCAAAATGGCCTCCCTGCAACTCCCCCTCCCCCTGACTATGCCCCAATAAACAGGACACTCAGTCAGATTTGTGAAGTTCCTTTTTTTGCATCTAGGCTGTGTAGGCTCAACCCCAAGGGCTGAAGCATCATGCTGGGGTGGGGGGTAAGGGCATGTGGGTCGCTTTGGGGTAGTGAGGTGGATTGGTTCATTCACTCTAACCGTCACCGGGGCTCTTGGCTCTGTGCTGAGCTGCCCCAGAACACAGTGGAAAGGCAGAGGGCTCCAGAGCCTGCTCTCAAGGGCTCCTAGGACACTACAGCAGGCAGTGCTAGCCCAGAGGGGTCTGGGGGATGAGGTGGGATGAAGAGGAGTGGGCTCTCAGGACGCTCCAGCAGGCAGTGCTAGCCCAGAGGGGTCTGAGGAGTGAGGTGGGATGAAGAGGAACCGGCAGAGGTGCTGGGGCAGGCTCCTCTTTGTCACCTCATCCATTCATTAGAAACACTACCCCATGCCCTTCCCCTAACTGGGTGCTGGGCACATGTAGGGACCAAGAAGTGCGACCCCTTTCAGAACACCTAACCCAGTGGCGTGATAACCCAAACTCACTCCCATTAAGTCAATTCTGACTCTTAGCGACTCTCTGAGAGAGTAGAACTGTTTGTTCCCTGGAGTGTCTGTGGCTGTGAATCTTCACAGAAGGCTGCCTCAAATTCTCCTGAGGAGCAGCTGGTAAACTGCTGACCTAGCAGTTAGCAGGCTAGTGCTTAGCCCATAGTGCCACAGGAGCCTTTGCTTCTCAATGAAACCATTACACGTGTTCAGTCTGTATGTGTGTATAGAGACAGAAGAGACGTCTGTGGTGGGGCCTGTCATGGCTCATTCAGGGAAGTGGGATCTGCCCAGTGTGAAGCCTGCCATGGGATCTCAGTTAGACCTGTAACTGCCCCTCTATGCTCATGTCCAAGGGGAGAATCCTGTGCCACCCTCACAGGGTTGGGAAATTTCAGGAGTCAATGTGGTTGGGTATAGTGTGGACATAGAATATAGAGGGTGGGGGGGGCCTTGCCTGAGCTGAGCTGAGAAGGAACATTCGGGGGTGTTCTGGTGAGGGGGAGAAAGAGGGTCCCAGGAAGGTAATAAAGGCCACTTTAGGGATAGAAAGGCCAGCAGGACCGGAGGGCAAAAAGCATGGGTCAGACAGCAACTAAGGCCTCATTTTCAGGGATTGCAGATCATGGGAGTTTGCTCCTGTCTCTGGAACAGTGAGGAGCCTGTGAGAACACACTGGGCGGTGGGGGGACAGTAGGGAGCCCCGAGTGATGAAGGAGGGTTAGAAGACGGATGTGACATGAGAGTGCTCAGCAGTGGGGGTGATGGGCTGGGTGGGTGGGACTGTGCCCGGGTTCTGAGCGGAGAATTGGGGGAGGGGTGTGGGAGACTCTGAGGAATCACTGAGCTAGAGGTCTTCAGGGATCCAGTGGGAACCCCCTGGCTGTTCCACAGAATGAGGCACAGGACACTCTTCATGGGGTCAGCCCGCAGCAGGCTAGTGGCTGGTGTCATGCTGTCTGAGGAGCAGAGCTTGGCCACAGAGGCCAGAGCGCACCCCACCAGCAGGTACCACGTAGGCCCTGCCATCCATGGCCCGCGACGGCGCAAAGTCTGTCAGCTGCAGGTTGCTCTCCTGGACCTGGCCGTATTCCCACAGCTGGTAGTGCCAACTCTTGCCCTGCTTGGAGAGGAGGTAGATGGCTCCCGAGAAGCCTTCCTCTGGCAGGGGTGGCGGCTGGTAGGGTGTGCTGGGCACTGGGTGGAACAGGCCTGCCAGCTCAGGGTCTTCGGCATAGCCAAGGCTCGGCACAGCCACCACCCCCAGGAGGACCCCTGGGAGGAGAGCAGCAGATAGCTGAGTGGGCTCACAGACATCTCCCTACACCTCCTCAGGGCCACAGCTAAGTTACCAGGGTCAGGGGTTACACAGCGGGCTGGGTTTTTAAGCCCATAGGCTGTCCACGTAGGGAGGAAGAGAGGCCAGTGTTAAGTGGAACCAACCCCCCTGCCTAGTCATGTTGGTAAAGACACGCTCAGAGAGGAGCCCTCGGGCCGCACAGACCCCAGCTTTCTGTCTCAGGCAGGTGGAGGGACCAGGAGGGTCTAGTTAACAGCCAACACCGACTGAGCCTGTGAAATGGTTTCACACACCCCAACTTGGAGGTGCGTGGTCACTGCTATCACCCCCAATTTACAGATGGAAAGATGGAGGCCCAGAGAAGTGGAACAACTTGCGTGGGGTCCCAGGGCCTAGAAGGGGCAGGGCCAGACCTGGAGCTCAGGCTGCCGGATCCCCAAGTCTGAGCTCTTGTGATGGAAACCTGCCTGGCGGGTGGGCCACCTGAACGCCTGCTCTGTCAGGTCCAGTGCTAAGAGCCCAGGATGGGCAGAGATGGTCCACCCTAGTGCTGACCTGCAGGACTCAGGGGGAGGGGGCGGTGGGCAGGCAGTCCAGGGCCTGGATGGGGCTTGGACTCACCTGCACTCACAGCCCAGTGGGCCTTGTGGCCCCTCCTCTGACAAGGCTCATGGTTGAAGTCCTCATCGTAGCTGGTGCAGGTGTTAAGATCACAGCTGTGGTCTACAGTATGGCCCAGGGATCCCGTGTTACCTCGACCTGCCCCGCCCACTGGCCCTGGGATACGGAACGAGCAGGGGGTGACCGGCGATGATGTGCTGCAGGATGTAGTCTCTGTTGGGACCACCCAGGCCACCACAGAGCAGCTCGGTGTGGCAGCCCAACACCTCCTGGGCCAGCTTGCCCATGTCAGCCACTGTAGGGGGACAGTGGACAGAGAGAGGGCACTTATTGCACACCCGTCTCCTCTGCAGCACAGAGAGGGAGATGTGCTTGCCCCAGGCCACACAGCACTCATAACCACCCTGCTGTACAGGGCACATGGCCTGAGGAATTGTGGGAGGCTGGCTGTGTGTCTGTCCTTGCCATATGCCCATCCCAGGGAAAACCCAGCTTGAGGTAGCTCACCGGAGAACATCTCCCCCTGGGCTGTGTAGCCTCTCTCCAGTGCCACCTGCAGAAGTCTGTCCAGGGGGACCCCATCAGGGGGTACCAGGAGGGTGCTTGCCATCCATAAGGCCACCAGCCCGCACCTGCGGGGAGACAAAGGCAGGCCCAGCCACTCTGTGCCTAGACCACTGAGTTATGAGCTCTCTGGAAGCTGGAGTCTGGCTTGCTGCCTTGGTGTGGTGAAGGCTCTCCTCCCCTCCCCCAGGCCCGCTGGGGGGCTCTGACTCCTCCCTGCTATGGATGGCCCAGGCCTGAGCTGGAGCTGGAGAGATGAGCGGGGAGGGGGCAGAGAGAAGTCACAAGGGCTTCCTGAAGGAATGGGTGCCAGTAAGGATCAGAGAGGATGGACCAGGTTCATTTGTTCATTCACTCATTCACTTCAACTGTCTGTTCACTGCCCTGGCTGCTCCCCCCTCGAGTCCCCAAGTTGTTGGGACTCACTCCCAGCCTTGCTCCAGGGTCAGCCTAGCAAGGCAGCAGGAGGGAGGGGAGAGCCCCAAATTCCAGCACTTACTGAGGGCCTTCTTGGATGAGGGATGGCAGTTCAGCACAGAAAAGGATCCACTGCAAGTCATTTCTGAAACTGAATCAGAGGCACGCTGAGTCAGGCGGGGCAGTTCCCAGAGCCCTGCTCCAGGTTTGGGTAGGAGCAGAGTGTAGACTGAGGACAAAGATAGCCTGGCTGTCCCTGGTGATGCTCTTGTTGCCCCTTGCCTTGGTTTCCTCCTTGCCTGCTCCCCACTCCCTGTTACTGAGGGAGTGAAGTGCACATGTGCAAAAGTCCTCCAACTAGGAGCCAGAGTGAGGAAACATCTCAAAGGGATGCTTCTATACCTCAACTCTGCTAAATGAGGTGAAAAATCCCTTAATGTCTTGGTGAGATTAAAAACCAACTCAATTTGGACTAATTTAGGTGGATGGCTTAAAATAACAAGTCCCAGCCGACCTGCCCACCCCCACCCTTGGGGAGGCCTCAGGGGCAGCTCTGGTGACTCCCCATCTCTCGGACTCAGTGCACCCGGCTCTTTATTCCCGTCCCCCTTGTAAATGAGAGGAGGCGGCCGAAGGTGGGAAGCGGGCTCCTGGTTCCGTTTGGAGCAGCCTCCTGACCAACAGGGCCCAACAGCAGGGTATAGTGGTTACAGGCGTGAAAACCACGCTGCCCAGTTCCAGGGAGGGGCTTCCTCACCATCATTCTGCGGCTCAGTGATTTTCCCTGTGAGCCTGGTTCCTACCTCACTGGGTTGCTGACACTATTAAAGGACTGAATTCTTATAAACCCTTAGAGAGGTGCCTGACACCGACTAAGCACATAATTAACTAATGGATGTTGTTCGCGTTAGATTAACATCACCAGGGTTGGTAATTTAGGGCGAATGATACACTTCCGTGACACAGGGCAAGTCCACACTCCCCCACCCCACCCCACCCCGATTCTGCCCAGCCCGATAACCATTCCAGTGGGTCCTCTTTACCCACTGCCCCGGCCATGGTCCAGACTGTAGGTCTCGCCAACTACAATCTCTGTCTCACAGTTCCCCAGAGCCCCCAGGACAAGTCCAACCCCCTCACCACGGCCCACCATGCTGCATCGTGTGAGATCTGCCGCTTGCCCCCCTTTGCCACCTGCCTGTAGCATTGAGGAAATACTTACACTTGCAGTACCCTAAAATCCTGCCCTCATTTACCTCTGGGTGTCTGCGCACGCTGCTTGCTCTTCCTCATCACCTGTGCCTTGAGTGACTCACCCAACTGCGTGCAGGGTTTCCCTGCTCTGGGAAGTAGCCCCTCTGGGCTGTGACTGTTTGGGGGGGGGGTCTGCCCTCTCTAGTGGACTAAGCGCTGTTACCTATTGCCACTGAACCAATTCTGATTTATAGTGATCCTAAATGGCGTTTCTGAGACGTAATCTATGAGAGGAGACAGCCTCATCTTTCTCTCAAGGAGCAGCTGGCCGGCTTGAACTGCTGACCTTGCAGTTAGCAAGCCGACATCTAACCCACAGCGCCACCACAACCGGGGCTTCTTCGGCGCTTGTGAGAGGAGATGCTTTCTTCTCAGATGAGGGCACAGCACCAATACAGGGATGGGACCAGACAAGCTGTTAGACTCTTAGAAAATGTGACATCCCAAGAGGAAGTGGCTGAAGTGATCCGGGGACAGGGAGTTTTTTTGGGACCCTACCGGTCCTTGTGCAGCTTCAGAAGCCTCTTCACGTCCTCTCTGCCCGAGGGGACAGGGCCCGCCTTCTCCAAGGCCTCCTTCAGGAGATGACTTTTTTCCAGGCCGAAGACGTGAGGGGGCGCAGGCCCTGAAGCAGGCGCGGGAGGCGGCAATGGGGGTGGCGGGATGATGGAGGCCTGGGGGACCACCGGGGCTCTGGGATGAGGGACTAAGGGCTCTAGAGGAGCGCGCTGAGACGTCATCGTGGAGTCCGGGAGGAGCTGGGTGGAAATGAGAAGGAAAAGATCCTTCAAAACGGAGTTGAAAGTCCTCTTTAAAGACCGGGATTATGATGGTTTGACAGTCGAGTACCACAATGGAGGATAAGCAATGCGGCTGACTCCTCAGGGATTTGGGATCTGGTTGTTTTAATCCATATTTGCGGGCTGGAGCCAGTTGATTCGGGTAGGAGATTAGGAATTATTAATTTGTCCAAGTCAAGATTTAGAAATTCCTGGGTTTATTTTGGAAATGTGAGCAAAGCCTTCGAGTGTGGCTCTTAAAGGGTGGGATTTAGGGTCCCAAAGCTAAGGACTGGGGGAATTTACGGTCTGTTCCCCACCACTCTGTCCTATAAAATCGCTGAGCTGGAACCGACTCCACGGCCGATTTAGTTTTCCCAACCCGCAACCCCCCCCCGCCCAGATCGGGGTTCGAACCTTCGAGCCGACTTTTGAATCAGGTCAAAAAGGAGACCCTTCAGGGAAAACTGCCTAGTTGTGAAGAAGGTCCTGGAACTATTAAGAAACAGAAAAAGTGGGTTATGGGAGGCTAAGATAATGGAGGGTTGGGCTGCAGGGAGCCGCGAACCCAGGTGAAAAAACTTTGGAGCTGGAGAGTCAGGTGCTCCCTCCCCTCCCGCAAAATGGCAGCCACCGCAAATAGCTTTCTTATATCACGTGGTAGGACTCGCAACTTGTGCCCACCCTTTCCACTATCACGTGGCAGAAAATGCTAAGGAAGGAGAGGTGGGGCTTTCAAAGGATAGCCGCCGGAAGAGACCCTAGAGCGAGCTGCGCCCCGATTGGCAAGAAACGCGCGAGGGGGCGTAGCCCTCACTGATTGGTCCATAGGTCGGACGCCGCTGAAGGCGGGAACCCAAATGTTATTTTGATTGGCAAGTTATTGGCCCGGAGATAAAACTTACCCTGATTGGTCAAACTACCAAGTTTCCGCGCAAGGATTGGTTTGCAGAAAGGCAAAGGCGGGACCAGGAGAGGAAGCTTTGTGGTCCAAGCTCAGGAGCTCAGAGGACGCTAATTGCGGGAGCTGTTACCCTGTTGGTGAGTATTCGCGGAAGTAGGTGGTTATCGGCGACGGGTGTGTGGAGCCCATGGAACTTGTGGTGCCTTCCCGTGTCTCTTCTGGGGAAACTTTCCTCCTCCATGAGGCCAGGACGCCCCAAATGTGTTTCGCCTTCCTTAACTGGCAGTACATCCGGGTGTTTTCTCCCCAGCCGCCCTTTGGTCGCGTGGTCCAATGGCAGTAGCCACTTAGGACGCTCCGCCTCCTGAATAGAGTAAAGCACCCTGGGACTCGTAGTGGACCTCTGGCGATTTGTCTTAGCACGCGGAGGAGAAAGACCGAGTTCTACCTCTCGGTAGCGTTGCCCAAATTGGTGCCCTACCCACCCCAATTCCCTCCCCGCTTTGTCTAACTTCTTCCTGGAAGGAAGATCCCCTAGCAGTCCATTAAACCCGCGTTGGAACAAAGGATTTGGAAAAATCCAGAACTGAAGTCTCCCTTTTCCTTTCTTCAGCCTTAACCTCTGCTCCTCGCTCCATGGCAGTTCCCGAGACCCGCCCCAACCACACCATTTATATCAACAATCTCAATGAGAAGATCAAGAAGGATGGTGAGTTCTCGGGATGGCCCAAGTGAGCTGGCCCCTTCCATCGCCAGAAATCGCTTCTCTGCCTTCAGCGTAGATCGTCCACACTCTGCCCATTAACGTGTTCACTGATGCTCGTCCTTCGGGTCTCAGCTCACAAGACTCCGCCACCCTAGGAGCTGCCTCTGCCGTCGTGGGCTTTGGGCAGGGACTGGGGTCCTCGAGTGACCAGCCAATTGTGCAGGAGGCAGGAAGGCTATCTGGCCCTTAGTACCCGGTGCCGAGTTGGACACTTTCTCACATTTAGCTTTGACGGTCCCCCTGCCAGGAGATGCTGCTGTGGTTCCCATTTCTCAGATTATGAGAAATGGAAACTCCTATATGACTTGACTTGCCTATGGTCACACTGCTGAGAAAAGTGGCCAATTTTTGGAATTGTTCTTAGGGACACACTGCAGATTAGACAGACTATTCCTCACTTTTTTCAGCAAGTTGTCACCTTTCCTGAGTCCCGATTTCTATAAGAGAAAACAAGGCGAAAATCATAATCTCTTCTCTGTAGGGATGTTGTGGGGATTAAATTAGCCAAACTCCATGAGCAGTATTTCTTTTTAGGGCACCTGGATGGTAAAAGGAGCCTTGTTGGTGTTGTGAAATAAGCATTGGACTCCTAGTCACTAGGTTTGCAGTTCAAGCCTAGCAGCTGCCCCACAGGACAAAGATGAAGCTGTCTGTGGCTGTAAGGATTTACAGTCTTGGAAACCCCGAGGAGTAGTTGTACTTTGTCCTCTAGGGGCTCTGTGAGTCAGAACCCACTGGTTGGCAATGGGTTGCTGGTAGTAAGCGCTGACTAAATGTTAGCTCTTACCACCTTGAAAATAAAAGTGCTGGTAGCATAGTGGATTTCGAGTTGGGCTGCTAACTGAAAGGTCAGTAGTTCAAATCTACCAGTTGTTCCATGGGAGAAAGATGAGGCATTCTGCTCCTGTAAAGATTTACAGCCTCAGAAACCCTATCCAGGATTGGAACTGATTGACAACCACCATCAGAAGGCACTTGTTGGGAGGATCAAAGGAGATGCTGGAATTTACATTTGGGGTTATGAAAAAAGTTGCTTTTGAAAATGAAAACAAGGAATGGAAACTCTGCAGGTGCTTTTAAAACATGTTACACAGCCATGCTAGATGGTGAGGTACTGGAGGAGTCTTGAGCGAGACAGTACTGGCTCCAAATCCCTAGAGCCACAATCCAGACCCATGATCTGATTGCAGCGGTTCTGATAGCCAGGACCATGGTGCGAGAACATGTTGAGTCAGTTTTGACTCAGAGTGACCCTGTATAGGGTTTCCAGGTGAAGAGACTCGGGACAGAAATTTGAGGAGAAATTTGGAGAGGGCTTCTGGCTAGAGGAGGCAACAGATGATGAAGGAGAAGGGGGATTGAGAACTTTAGTTAACCGAGAAAGCTGACCCAACGACCATCACGTTGATCTGAATCAGGGACCCTTAGGACATTTAGTCCACTGTGCTCCTTTGACTTTGACCAATAAGTGTACTGTCTAGGGCAAAGCATCTGGGCATTGTGGGAACTAGGAGTGGCTTTGTGTGGCTGGAGCCCGAGAGGCCTAGAGAAGCGCCCAATGAGTCCTCCCTCCACTGCTGCCTTGCCTCGTTGCTGAGCTAATGAGGTGTTGAACTTTGTCCTGAAGGCCGTGTAGAGCCAGGCAAGGGAACACTGTCAGTTTCCAGTTGTGACAGATCTTCTCGAAGGGTGAACTGGAGTGGGTGGGGAGGGGAAGCTGAAGTTTGGGGAGTGATCCCAAGTCCAGTGGAACACCAAGGCCCTGAAGTAGGTGCTTGAGGATAGGACGGAGGTTAAAGACAAAACCAGAAATGTCACAAAGAATCTTGGGCCAATTGCTTCAAAACCCCCTTGCTCAGACTACCCCCAAGCACACACACATTTCCTTCTCCCGCCTTATTTCATAAAATAGCTCCTGCTCAGCTACCTTCTTTGCATCAGATAATCAGTACGTTTTCAGAACTTGGTAAGACTGGGCCTTCTTTTGTGGAGTTGGAATCCTGCTTGCTCTCAGGGGAGGCAGTTTGTTTAAGGTGGTGGTGCTGGGTTTGGATAGACTGGGAACCTGGTCCCAGCTCGGCCTTGTCCTTCTCAGCACCGTCACAGCACTTGCTGTGGGCCAGGGACCCGTTTGGTGTCAAAGCCCGTTCACATATACAGCAGAACAGTAGCGGAGCGGTCATAGCTGCTCCCTCCTGAGGTTGTTGGAAGAATTGAGTGGAGTTACTTCCTCAAAGTACTTGATGGCTTCTTTATCATGTCAGTGTTTGTGGGAAAGTTGGTTGTAGACTGCACTAGGTATGGGGCTATTGCAGTAATCAAATAGAATGGGTGCAAAGAGAGAGAATGTGTAAACATGTTAGGTGGTGAGAAATGCAAATTGAGGTGAGACGGAGGACTCTGAGGCGGTTTCTTGTGCTGAGACCCGGAAGACTAGGAGGCAGGTGTGTAAGCATCAGGGAACTGTGTTCTAGGCAGAGGGAACAGCCAGTGCAAAGGCCTGGAGGTGGACTAAGTGACCTGAGAAGGCTCAAGACTAGTGAGGTTGAAGAGACCAAGGAGAGGTGGAATATGGAGGCGATAGATTGAGAAAGTCATGGGGGACCAGATGAGCCAGGTCTTTTGTCGAGTTACTTGATCATGTACTGTGTGCCACGTCTCCTTCATACCTGTGGGGTAGGGGCCATCACACTGCCCATCCCCCAGAGCAGCACACCGGGTGGCGCATGTTGGCTGCTCGTGCCACTGTTGGGTGTTGTTGAGGGTTTGTGGACTCAGGACCTTCTGGGTACATCTGTCATTTGGTTGTTGGACTCCTGTCTGCATTACACTTCCTCGGAAAGAAGGGAGCTCAAGCTCTAAGGCTGCGTAGCCAGGACTCGGGTAACTGGTTGTTCTTCTCCCCCACTATAGAGCTGAAGAAGTCACTCTACGCCATCTTCTCCCAGTTTGGCCAGATCCTCGACATCCTGGTGTCGCGGAGCCTGAAGATGAGGGGCCAGGCTTTTGTCATCTTCAAGGAGGTCAGCAGTGCCACCAACGCCTTGCGTTCCATGCAGGGTTTCCCCTTCTACGACAAGCCCATGGTGAGTGGTGGCTGGTGGCCTACGTGAGTGCACATGAAGTGCTCTGGGGGACCCTAAGGACGGGGCTTCAGGGAAGGGCACTCTGGGTGAGGTGAGACTTGAACTAAAAGGAAGAGTTCACTGGGGAGGCGAGCAAGAGAGTTTGGGCAGAGAGCTCGTGTGGAGTAAGACCCAGAGGTGACCAAGAGCATATGTGGCACTGCTG